AAATAAATTGAGTAAGTAAGCATAAAAATAAATCAATTCAGCCAAACCCCACATTAGCCGTGTTATGGTATAAATCTGTGTCATACAAGGCAAAATACAAACCATGATATTTCTAAAAACGGTTTTGAAGAAACATTTTGCGTATAATCAATTCTTTATACAGGTAATTACGGTCACGGGATATAGTCATAACGATCTAGTATGAGGTAACAAATATCAAATTCTGATTTACTTTGTTCGGTGTGTACTAGTTGCGGTCATAATCAAAAATTACATACTAGTTGCGGTCACCCATCAAAAAGGTTACATACTAGTTTCGGTCACTCCAATAATAATAACTAAGTATACTAAATAATATAATATAATATAGTTTATATGATAATTAAATATGAAATTAATATTTCGTTTATTTATTTAATTTAGAAAAATGTACTAATCAACATTTTCCTTCCCATTTATATCGAAAAGATAACTGACTTAGGACTGTCTACACTATTATTTTTTGTGTAGGTATGGTTAAAAATGTTGATACTTATGTTTAAATTACGTGGTTAAACTTGTGTCAAAATATAGTATATAATAGTAAACTTGTGTCAAAATATAATATATAATAGTATAATAATAATAATAATTTTAAATTTTAAAATTTTGTAGGTATAAATTTAAAGGAAATCGACTTAAGATATTTAAGCTGATTTAAAATACCTTCTTCATAATATTGTATTTGTTGCGCTAAAAAATGCTCTTTTTCTATTGAAATTTTATTAACACGACTGGTTTTTGTACAATTCATTTTTAAATAGCCATTCGTTTGAATTTCATTTAAAGCGTCAATAAATATAAAAATATTAGGCATATACTCGTATACGCTATGTGCATTATATACAGCTATGATAAGCTATGACCGCAACTAAGATATTACCTAAATTGTCGTGACCGCAACTGTTATATTTGTTTATCTCAAAAATCGTCATGACCGCAACTAGTATGCAGCCACTTTGTTTAGCCCCCCCCCCCTCTCAAATTGAAAAATTCTGGTTAGATAGGGGAGCAGTCCGAGTTGACTATAGTGGTCTCAAACATGCAGCCAGTGAACACTTTCGATGTGGCCCGCAATAGTTAAGACATTTTTATTATTCATTATTATTATATAACGATTACAAATTTTTTTAAATTATAAATTGTAGTTTTTATTTAAACATCAATAATTATTATAAATATAATATTATTTGACATTCGTAATGTTTTATTTTTACATCCTTCGACAATAAGTCATGGTTTTTGAAACTTTTAAAAAATAGTTGTAATATATTAAATATGGGTATATAAGGTGTATAATAATATATAATAACACAATATGATTATCGATTAAAATTAGATCAATTTATAATATTTGGTGGTATTATACTGTTGTTAATATAATATGTTACTATTGGTAATATCATTGATATTATAATATACAATATAGCCAATATCTATTTTGTATCTATCTATTGGCTATTAAAGGCACTATAATAATTGTATTAAGCTATTGCAACACTATAATTTAAAACCTTTACACATTTAGGCAATTATAGCCTGTATGTATGTAATGACATATTAAGAAAAATTAAAATATATTTAAATAATAATTCAAAGTATTTTATCCAACTAATTTAACAATTGATCAAATGTCTTAAGGTTATCATCCTCTTAATAGCTCATAATTCATATTACATTATTGCTTTTGTCTTCCAGATTTGGTCATCCTTGGTCTAAGTAGGTACATACTAGGTAATAAAGGTTACAAGTGAATTTGGGCAATGGGAATCAACTATACTCTGTTCAAAATAAGACAATAACCAGGCAGCAACCAGTTTTTGTCGAGCGATGGTCAGAAGCATAGCTAGACACTTACCCTGCAAAGTCAACATAGAGACCAGTGATTTGGAACAAAGCCACACCCATGCACACAACTCGGCAGCCTGGTTATCATCTTATTTTGAACAGAGTATAGTTAAAGTTGTATTTTTTGTAAACTTTTTAACTTAACTACCTATTTAGTTAATTTTCTAATCAACTTAAGAACATACTAATCTTAATTTAAATTATTGAAATAATGTAGTTTTTTCAGTTGTTTTGAAAATAATTATCAAGTTAAATTGCATTTTTACATTAATAGGTTAATTACTATCCATACAAGATTGGATAAAAATAATCAAATACCTACCTACTATAATAATAGTAATATTAAATAATATTAGGTACCTACAATGTAGTATAGAACCTATAGATTCACAGTGTGATTCACTTCCTAATTAAAAAAGTAGATTAGGCAACTTGTTTTAAACTGAGTTAAGATTATGCCACACTCGCATGTGTTGTCTCCATCTCACAAATGTACAACATAGCAAAAACTGTTATGCCCGAAGTAAAACCACTCAAGCAGAAGTCCAAGCTAAGTAACTATATTCTCACACTATAAACAAGAGAAAATTTATTGAGCAACATCATTTTTATTTTTTCAATATCACAAATATAAGAAAAGTTCTTATTGTTTAAAAATTCATTATTTCAACTTGAATAACTTTTTTTGTATTTATGATATCGAAAAAATAAAAATGATGTTGCGCAGTAAATGTTCTCTTTTTAATAGTATGAACATTTGGTTGCTTATCTTGAACTACAGCTTGATTGGTTCTATTTTGCGAAAAACAGTTTTTGCTATGTTGTACATTTGTGAGATGGAGACAACACATTTTTCTAAATTAGCTCTGCAACGTGTTAAATTTTTAACAGATTGTTGATACAGCTAAACAATAATTTATTCCATTTCCAAAAATGTCTGATTGAAGTATTGAGAATTATCATAATTAAAGAAATAATTTGATTTTCATTTAACAAAAATAAAAACATAAACATTTTAAAAATAAGTTGTATTCATATTTAAAAACATATTTGTGAAACTACTATTATTATTATTATTATTATTATGATTAATGGACAATATTGTTTTATAAATTAAATATTAACATTCAATCCACACAAAATACTTTTGAATTAACTTCAGTTATTATCAATATTCATTAATTTATTTATATTGTAATTATTATATTAATATTTTTCATTAATAGGTTTGAAATAAAATTTTAAAAGAACTTTTATTTTGAATTTATCTATTTGATAATAGATTGACTGCTCACAAAAATGTTATTATTGCAGCAACAGAGTTATTACTTATTCGAGTATATTGTAAAGATAATATAAATCATATTTAATGCAAATTAATGAACTTAAACATAGTATGAAAATATTTAATTAATACTAATAAAACAAATAACACTATTATAAGAATGTGCATCTATAAAATCAAACATGTATTTCTGTACAAGTTCAGTTCAATTATTTATGTAGAACACATTTCACACTAATTAGAATTTTTAAATTCATCATAATTGTAATGTTTGATTGGAAGATCAAATTTAATAAATCCCCAATCTTTGGCTTTTTTAACGGCAACTATCAAATTTTCATGTTGTTTCTGGCAAATTCCTGTTAATCTGTAAAATAAAATATTATATTATACAAATTAGTAAGAAAATGATCAGTTAGCCATTATTATTTAAAAAACAGTTATCATATATAATATATTGGGATATTTTTACTTGTATAATATAAACAAAAAATAATTTTATGCATAGGGGTATTTTAGGCCAATATAGTGATCTACTCCATACATATACTTGTAAGTATCATAGAATAGTGTTTAATACTTTATTTTCTCATATCTATAAAATGTTAATGAAGCATACCAAAAATCTAATATTAATATACAATAATTGCAGTCGGGTACATAGATATTTGGAATTTTATAAAAAATTATATGTATGTAATAATAATATATACTCTCAAGAAACGTAGATAGCGACCAATTTTTGTTGGATTGCAGTCAAGCGTGTCTTACAAAGTTACAAACACATGTCATAGCAAATTTTTGTTCAGCAAAACCAAGTTAGTTAGCAGGTTTCTAAATTAGCTTTAATATTAGAATTAATTGACCTAATGAATTATGGACCTATCATCAAACTTAAAGTAGTTAATACATTGATTTTTTTATATTTTTATTTGAAAGCAAGTTGTGAAACATTTTTACATGCCCATAACAGTCATCTCAAATAAAACTATTGAAATAACTGCTGTAAGACCCCCCCCCCTCCCACATACAAACACAGACAATGTTCTCAAAAGGATGCTAGTATTTTTGTCTCTTTTTTATACAAGTGCGTAACATAGCAAATTTTAATCTCAGCAGATCCTTTAGCTCCGTTAGTTTAAATATTAGAGTAAATTGACTTCTTATAACATTTAAAGTTACAATTATCTAAGCTTAGACATCTAATAAGCTTTTTATGATATTTGAATTTTAAAGCAAGTTTTGAATATTTTGAATAGGACAGACAATTTACCATTGTAAAATATTGAAAACTTGGGTTGAAATTCAAATATAACAAAAAGCCTATTAGAAGCTCTAGATAATCTTACCTTTAAATTTTATAAGAAGACAAATCACTCTAATTTAGAAATTTAGAAACTAAAGGAGTACAACGTGATCTACTGAGTGTAAAATTTGCTATGTAATGTGTTTGTAAGACGGAGACCGAGCTTGTAGGTGTAGCATTCTCTTAAAAAAAAATTAATAGCAATAATTTATAATAATCCTTTCAACTTTTATTATTAAAATAATGAAAGTTGTAAAAAAGATCAAATGGATTTTTTTTTTAATGTAAATTCAAATTATTATACGTACTTATAGGATAATAGTTTTCCAGAATGAGGAGATATGAATTGTTTGAGCAAATCCACATTTCTGTAGTCGAGTATGAGATATTCGTCACGACATACTGGACATGGATTACCAGTTGCAATCATATCAGATCTCTAAGTATGAACATATATGAATATAATTTATAACATAGACTATATAAATATCAACTTAGTATTAAATTTATTTTACAACTCACAATACACGTTTTCCTAGTTTTGTTGGGTGGAATACTTCCTTTGTGATTACGGCGATATTCTTTCCATACAGGATTATCTCCATAAGTGGATTTGTATGCTATAAAAAATAAAAAAAATTATACTAATTCATTTAAAATGTAACAACAAAAAATATGATGAACAAAATTCCAATAGACTATTGTAATAAAATTAATACTTAAAAGACTATTTCAGTACTAGAATCTATTGTTCCGTAAATAATATTAAATACTTTTCACTTATTATTAATTGTAATGTATTTGTAACCATGAAATAAGTATATTAAAAATTAAATAATCCAATAACATAATTACAGGAATGAATATTTTTTTGAAATGATATCATAAAGAGGAAAAATTTTTCAAAACCACTTAGAAAAGGTACTGTACAGGAAAAGTATTTTCTCGGATTGATATTTACAGGAATCTTAAAAAACTAGGATGAACTAGGATAATATTACTCAGGAATACAAAAATCAGGATCAATATTAAATAAGGATCTTATTTTAGTTTTAATCCTGCTAATTAGTATCCAATTTTTAGACACCCGAATATTAATGTATATATAAAAGATATATATCATTAATACTATTCCTAACCGATATAATTCTTGAAATTTATTTTACATTTTTTCGATTCTAGTAAATACCAGTTAAAGAAAATACTATTCCTGTATTATTCATTCCTAAATTAACTTTGAAAATTATATTCCATACTAAAAATGTTCCAAATATTTTATTCTTATTTATAAGTTATTCATTTATAGAGGGCTTTATAACTTACCAAATAAAAATTATTAGAAAGAATTTTTTTTTTAAGTAGTCTGTTTTAAAATGTACTAATACCCAACTAAGATGCTTTTGTTGTTATTAAAAATTTAAGATTTAAGGCAGTAATGTTAAATGTATTAAGTTTTTCTAGTAAAACTAAACCAACATTGAATATAGTTAAATAATTAAATTAGAAACAATAATGGTATTGAATGTCTTTCTTAAGGAAAACTGTTAGTTAACATATAAATCCTAAAAATATTTATTAAAAGTAAACTTATATAAATAATAACACAAGTTTATAACTTGTTTATCTAGAAAAAAAAATGTTTCTTGTAGATTACTGTCATTAATTTAATAACTTAGAAGCAGCACTTTTTGATTAAAAATATGAAAAAATCAACTTAGCGATAGAATTAATAGATTAGATAGAGATATTTATTTATTTTAGAAAAATAATAATAGTTTCATACCATCACTTTTTAGATATTCAATACTAGTTTCAGCCGGAATCACAGTAGACCTATCTTTTGGCGAATCTCGTTCCACTTCGTCTTTAGTTGACAATTCATTATATTTGACCACACTTGTGTACACATTTCTTCCATTTTTCTAATTAGAAAAATCGATAAGAACAAAGCTCAATTTAATACCACGTATATAATTTATTGAAAAATAATTAATATAATGTATGGATGTAAACTTACAGGCACAATATGGTTACCAGTTGATAGACCACTTGATACTTTGAAAAGTGAAGACGACAATGTACGAATAGTATTCAAAAACATTTTTATAGTGTACTTAAAACCTAGTAGCTCAAGTAATAAATTAAATAGAAAATATATAACAAAAAATTGTAAAATGTGTTTCTGGCTTACTCGTCGTCTCTTATCTGTCATAAGTTCCTAATAGATAAGGTAGAAATTTGTTATGAACAACATTTTGTTTGAGACGACATTTTCGCTAAACACATATTTTCCCAAAACCTCAATCTACCACTATACGGGTGTTCGTTAACAGTAAAATTTAAAAGAGACAATTCTTCGCGTTCGCGTTTATTATGTTTCTGAGCAGTACTTTTGCATTGATTAAAAAATGTAACAAATAATGTCTACAGCCCTACAGCCTACAGGGCATGGCTTAATAACTATTTAATAAATAAAGCTTAGAAACAATAGGCAATGGCAATGACTAATGAAGAATCTATACGACTATAAAATGCTGCAGTGTTGTTTGAATTTTGTTTTAAACTTAAAAGTATTGATTGATTACAATTTTCATTTATTTGCAAATCCAAACAAATAAATTTTGATTAATTGCTTCAAACCACCTATATAAAACTTTTTCTGAAAGAGATTGGTTTTCTCTTATTTTTCGAACTATCCGTATCCTTTTCATTGAACATTTTTACAATTTGTTCAGCTTGTCTTTTCATATCATCTCTAGTTAAGATGTATTCAGATTTTTTTGGCATATCTGCCGCTTTACTTTTTTTTATTAAAAGGGAGAATTTCATTTTTTTCATCATTAACTCTGCCTGTATGAATTCTTGAACTTTATACACATACATCGCACGAGCAAAATTCAATTGTTTGGAATCAAATTCATCCGGAATTATCAAATTACACCATCTAAATTTTCCATTAATTACGACGATCATAGATTTTATATCTTCTATTGATGTCATTAATTCTTCAGTAGCAGTATCTATTGTATTTTCTTGTGAAGTAAGATTTTTGATAAATTCTAATTGTTTAGAATCGTCAATTGTAACCTAAAATATCGATAGCATTAAACTGTTAGACATTTTAAAAATATTGAAATACAATGAAACACTTACATCAAGTTTTTTAAGTATGATTTTAATATTGTCCAAGTAGAAATACAAATCATTAAACAATTTCAAATAGTGAGCTTTGATATTTTCAAGATCAGACATTTTTTTATTTTGGTCACCAATGTATGTTTTGAAACTCTCCACTTGTTTAGTAAATTCAATATCTTTGATAGTCAAAAGTTTCAATTTATCTATAGTTTCTTTTTTACACAACCTTTCCTTCAATAATAAATTCCGTAAAGTTGTTCTTAAAGCTGACAATTTGCTTAAGTTCATTAAATCATTTTTGGTACACTCAACATATTTTACTAAATCTTCTATATTATTATATTCTGATTGATGTAATATGTAATCGGCGGCTAATTCATCATTTGTTGGTTGAATATCACTAAGAGTTACATAATTAAAGATATTTTCAGGAAACTTATAGTCGATGGATGAAGCATTTATATCATTTTTTAAATTGTTCAAAAATTTAGTTTTGTCATCTGGATGGACATAGTACATTATTCCAAATTGTGAAATATTACTACACCAATTACTGTTATTATTTTTTGTTTCTTTAGTTTTATCATTTTCAGCAATGGTATCAGCTTCATCAGTTGTATCAATTGTCCACGGAAGTTCTGAATAAAATCTTTCTTCAATTTTTGTGGCTGGTTTTTCTTGCATTAATGACTTTCTAAATTAAATAACAAATTTAGTGACTTGATTCATTTGTTAATGATAAGTGACTACGAATTTAATTAATAATTAAAAAATCAATTTGTTTTTCGAATGATATTTCATAAAAAGTAAATGAAAAATTGTATTCAACAGTGGTATAATAGGTATATAGTAAATAGTAATACTGTATTTTACTAAACATATACAGTCAAAACTCTTTATAACGAAACTCTTTACAACGAAAAACTCTATATAACGTAAACATTACATAATAATGGTTGGTTTGCTATATAACCCATTAGACAATTCATTCTCTATAACGTATTAGTCACTCTCAATAACGAAACAATATTTTATGTTTCATAATACAATTTACGTGTTATCGTATCCATTACATATATAAACTATAAAAATAATCGGCAATAATGCCGAATAAAAAAGTCCAAACTAAGAAGACAGACTATTTTAAATAAAGTATAAATATGTATAGTATAAGAATTAAATTATATTTAATAAGTATGTATAATAATAATAATAATAATTTAATATAATACGTAAATATATATAAAATAATGTAAAAATAATGATGTGTTTGATAAATAATTAAAATTTTGTTTTTTTTTAAACCCTCTCTATTACGAAAACTCTCTATAACGAAAGAAATCTCTTGGTCCCTTCAGATTCGTTATAAAGAGTTTTGACTGTATTTATATTCGTATAATGATCGATTGTAGTTCATTTTAAAATCTTGGGTACCTACACTATTTTATAAACTTTAAAAATAAATATAATATAGTTTACCTACTGCGTTCCATTGAATCCATTATTGCATTTATTTTGTCTATGTAAGACGTGTTTGTATTGATGCATTTTTCATTTGCATCCTTCTCGGCAAAATAACTTTTAACATAATTTACTGAGTCTTGGTTAAAATTTGTACCAGTTTCAATTTCTTTCATAATAATCACGGCCATTGATTTAGCGTCGCTCTGTAATTGTTCTATTACTGTATCATACTTGATTAAATTTTGTTTAACACCATCCACCATTTTTTTGGTCGTTCTTTTGGTCGAGTCGACCAATGCAATTCTCTTAACTTTGTTTACAATTTTTCCCATTGTTGCTTCCATTTTATTTCTTTTGATGTGTTGCTGATCATCTTTCTTCGGATTCGGGTATCTATGTATATCCTCCAATTTTTCTAATGCTATTTTAAATCGCTTAACTCGTGCATTTGATGTATTAGCAATTGTGTGTATAGAGTTATTCATGCTCAATTTTATTTTATCTGGATGTAAATGTCTGTATCTTTCTAACAAAATCTTACTTCCAGTCCCTGATAAAATTAAATCTTTAAAGTCTCCATTTACCACTTTAAATTCTTCATAATATTTTCCAATATTTTTTTTCAAGTCTTGAAGATGATTATTTTCATTTAGCAATTTGATATCCATTTCTGCAAGACGATCATGTTGCTCTGCATCTCCCAATTTTGTAATATTCTCCATAACGTCACATTTCAAAATATTTGTCCATCTCTTATCTTCCATCATTTCCACTCGTTGGTATTCATTCATATTTTTTTTTTCAGAGAATTTTTTATATAAATTAAAATTATAAGCGCTTTTAAAAATATTTCATAGGCGTGTATTATTGAAAATTTGTTTATATAAGGTTTGTTGTGTAACTATAAAATATTATAATCAGATATAATATCTCGTAACCGTGAGATAAGTAAATACCTATTATAAACAGCTGAAACAAGTTTAGTCAAACCTCATTAAAATGTACTAACTAAACAAATATAATAATTATTATAGATATCGAAGACAATGGTAGGTATACAGACTACAAATACAAAGACACCACGACGGCACTGATATGCAATTTATATGGCAGTACGTCAAACACGCATCAATATTCTGAAGCTGAATAATAGAAGGATATATAAAAATGTTTATGTAACATATATGTAATTTCTATGTTTGATGAAAAATTTAAAACTTTTAAATTTAAAAATAATAAAGATACATAGATAATTTCTAATATTATTGAAAAAAAAATACAAATATACTTAGTTTGAGTAAAAATGAATAAAAATAAATTAATTAAAAAACTAAACATTAAACATTATATTATAAACCAATACTTAGTATATTGTAATGTTCCGTTATTTTTACAAAATGAAACCTATTTATTTCACCAGTAGTAAACTTGAGCTAATTTTTCTGAATGTAGTCAAGTTTTTGATGTACATAATATTACTATGTCACTACGGTACAAATATATTTTAAAACAAATTTCTATACAATATTTGAACATTTTAATTTAGAGACGTATACATTTTAAGATTAAAGTTAGAAAACAACTTGAGCTTTTAAGTATACCTACACCTTTTTCCAGTTTTATTGTTAAATAATATTGATGCGCTAATGATGTACTACCTTCTAAACAGTTGATGCGCAAACGATGTTTACCGAAAATCGAACGATGCGTAAATGCAGTCTCATAAAAAAATGTAAAAATTAACAATAGTGATGCGCAAACGACAACCGGTAATTTATATTTTGCTTTAGTAAATTTTTTTTGATATTATGATTTGATTAGCATTTATTACCGTATTTTATTAAAAATAGTATATTGTATAATATGTTATGCTGTATAAATGTATAATACATTAATATTAAAATGAGAAATTGAGAATTTGATTTCGTAAAAATAACCGAACATTACAATATACTAAGTATTGGTTTATAATATAATGTTTAGTTTTTTAATTTATTTATTTTTATTCATTTTTACTCAAACTTTAAGTATATTTGTACTTTTTTTAATAATATTAGAAATTATCTATGTTTATTTATTATATTTAAACTTAAAAGTCTTAAATTATTCGCTATCCATAAAAATTACGTATTTGTTATATATAACATTTTTATACAATTCTATTATTCAGGTTCAAAATATTGATGCGCATTTGATGTACTATATTTTGGCACAGCAGGCAAACAGACGATGCTCAAAAGATATACTGCCATATAAATTGCATATCAGCGCCGTCTTGGTGTCTTTGTATTTGAAATCTGTATACTTACCATTTTCCAAAACGACAATCAGTTTGTATTCAATTTCATTATTTGAAAGACTTGCTCTTTACCTAACCGGCATAGGTATTTTCAGTGTCTTATTTTAGATACTATTTAGTATTTAATTATTTACCCTATTATGATTATTATAGAGACGATTAGTAACTAATAACTATATTATTTATATATTCAGCAACCGTAGAAAATGTTTTAGGTTTGTATCAGGTATGTACACTATTCACTTTAAAAGGGTTATCGAGTTAAGGGCCGGCTATACACATGATCCTTAGCAACAAAGTGCACTACGCATTTACGACATATTAATGCCATTACAGAGACGATATATTATTTCGTCGATGTTTTTGAAACTTGATCTACAACTACTACGATGTATTGGAAGCCCGACCAGAAGAGGTCAGGCAATGTTAAAAATTAATTTTCTACACTCCTTCAATTGCTCCCCTCCACGGAAATCTTTAGTAAAAGGCGAAAGATTTTTTCGATTTGAAGGGGAACCGGAGTTATGGATTATCCGGCGTTTGGTTCCCTATATGCAATCGGACAGGTCACCCCGCCGTGCAGTGGGCCAGATTTCATACAACACCGTTTTCCTTATCGGCAAGTTCAGGAAGGGTCTGTGCGCTTGCGGACCGCGGGCCGGTGCAAACTTTCGAAGTCGGTGCGACGGTCGACAGCGAAAACTTGTGGTATTGACTCGGTCGAAACGCTGTGCTACCAGCAAGTTACCACGTAGGCTAACAACAGCGTTCACAAACGCCATCTATCGAATGTTTTCCGATCAAATCCTTGCCGTATTATTTTATGTTAAAAAGTATGACGAAATAATTGAATGGGTCCGTTCTTTTATGCTCTCCGGCGGTGGTGGCAAGTTCAAACAATGGATCGTACGTAGTTATTCTTGATAAAAAGTTTTTTATTTGGCTCCCGTAAAATAATTCTCATTTTGACTAATTTTCGAGTCGATCAGCATTCAGCGTATACTAAGTATCATTTTTTTTTTTTTTTTTTTTATTATAGCTTCAAGTTTACAACAAACTAAGTATCATTATATAGTGATATTTCGCTCTTTAGCCGATGTACCACACTGTTCTTTGATTTCTATCCGAAAACGTTAAATTATACATAAACTGAATTTAGTGCCGGACCGTAGAATTCCAAAAGCCGCCGTCCTTTACATATGTCGTATAAATACATGATAATAAAATTGTGGACCGATCGAACACGTAGTCTAGGTAGGTAATATTATTTTTTTACGTGACGTATATATTAGTTTTATGACGACGGAAGACGAACTATACATTTTTTGTTTAAACATTTATTTGAATAGGTACCTATATGGCTATATACAATCTGCGATGATAGATAGAATGACCATACGAGTGGAATTATAAAAGTTGGCCGTGAATGGGTGAAGGCCGGAGGAAGCAGCTACCCAGCAGTAGCACTCGACCGAACTATACATGAACATTAAACTATTAAAGTGTAGTTATTTGTACAACAATATTACAAAGATCATTATAATAGTGTACATACATATATGTAAATTACATATTATTGTTATTATTAACTAGGCAACTTTATGCCCATACAAACTCACTGTAGAATGGTTTTTTATTCCAGTAATTCAGTAAATAAACTCATGAATTATAAAGAATCTTGTATCAAATGTTCAAGTACCTACACTCGTATAGTGTACTTATGACTAATTAAAAATAATTTACCAATATTTAGCTATTATTTATAATTTATAATTATAATACCTACTGTACAATATTCTTAAATATAAGCTGTTATATAGTCTAAATTTTCAAAATATTTAGTTTAATTTTAAGCTATGGACTATTTATATTTTGTACGGTATATTGCCTACTGCATGTTTGTACTACTTTTAGTAAAATAAGTTATTATGATGGCAATATAATATGTTTAAAAGAAACAAATATGTTTAGTAATACAGGCCGGCGGACCGTCTAGTCGCTCAAAACCTCAACCAGCAAAGTAACTTCCGGTTTTTTTGTCTTATTTTTTTTTTAAATTATAATGAGCCACAGCTATATTGTAATTTTAAAAAGAATAATGTTTTTTGAATTTTGAGTTTCTCACATTATGCTATACGGAAATATATCCGACAGAAAAATATAGCGCAAACATCGGACGATCACTACAATGACTACAAGGGGGCGCTACCAATAGGTACACGATCGTAGCCCACGATGTAGATAAAATTACAGTAGGTATAATATTATTATAACCGACAGCTGCCGAAGTCGAATAATTATTGTATCTACCTGTGCTCAGGGTCTCAGACGACGTTTGTTGTAGTACCTATTCTAAGTAACGACGATACTGATCGGATCTATTAAAAAACGGTTAGTTGCAAATTCGTACGTACTACATACGCACCTACTGCGTAATACGTGTACTGTAAAACAAAAGCAAAAAATAAATACTTGCGTGAAATAGACAACAGAATAGCCTGTTATCAACAGAATAATGTTTTTTTCATGAAAAATATTTGTTTTTGAGTTTTCAATATTGCTTCGTGCTCAGATCACTTCGACTTTTACATAATTATAACATTTAAAACATATCTTGTCATAGTCAAACTGCAGATCATGGGTATAAATAATAACTAAAGACCGGATTTTGCATAAAATGCATGTTGCTATTTTCAACATCATAGACATGCAATCAATGAGTCTCCATAAATCATTACTTAATTGATTAAATATCAAATTTTTATAGTGCATATTTTTGCATATTCTGACGTTGTGCATGTTTTGCATATTTTTGCATATTTCATCAAACAAATAAACACCTAACGATCAAAAAATATGTTGAACAAACATAAAAAAGAGATTATAGGTACGTTTATATAATATTAGAATAATATGGAAATATTACGATAATATTTCAATAAAAATATGAAATATTTTACATCTCAAAGAATAGTCGGGCGCTAAAAATAGGTTAGATTATTGTTTTTCCAATTAACATACTACATTAAATTTTTCGTACTTGTTTCCTATTTATATAACTATATCACCAATGTATCTATTATTTAATTTTTTTACAATATATCAATGATTAAAAATTAAATTACAATTTAACAAATTATATTGTTGTATTACATATTTGTTAAATTATACATCTTACTTTTTGATTATGAAAATGTATATAAAACTAATAAATAACTATTACTATAAAATTAAAATCAAATAAAACATATAATATGAAATTTAATTTTGCATATTTTGCATCTTTTTCTTGCATATTTTGCCTTTTTTTAGTGCATGTTTGCATGCATATTTTAAAATTTTAAATGCATATATCTGGTCTTTAGTAATAACCGTTGGATTTTAGCATAGACCACAAATGGCGAAAGGAACCAACTTTAGAGATTTACGATGAGAGGGTAAAAACGTAAAGTAGGTATACACATTGAGCCTTGGGTATAGTAAATCGCACTAGTCTAATTTGGCATTGTGACAGGCGACTAACGGAACCCCACAACGATCATAATATTACTGATTTTTTTTTTTTTTTTGAAATAGAAGAATTTTGTGTAAATATGAGACAAAGTATAAGAACATTTCTGCAAATAAAAAATGTATTCGGTAGTTGTCACCGTTTTTGTATTACGTGTTTACATTTTTTTTTTTATTTGACTTACATATTATTTCTATATTTCATAATCTCATGTTGTATCAACGGTGTGTCAGTCAAGCATACGTGTAAATAATATACAGATTATAATAATTTTAAAAAAAATGATAAAAATCGAAAATATCTCATGACTATAAAACTTGTTACTTCCAGGTAAATTTTTTTTTGTTTAAGGTACACCAACTTATGAGCAATCTTGCATTAATTGTCAAGCTTTTTTACCCAATGTAAAATTGTAATTATTAAGAATAAGTTTATAAGATTTGAAAATATCTCAAGGCTTTAAATAGTTCAAAAATATTCAAAATGAATTTTAACATTTCATGAAAATTTCAAATGTCCATGGTTATTCACTTTTGAGTTACAACGAAGTATAAAAAATCGATTGATTGAAATTCGTTAAATATTTAATATCTTAAAAATTTTAAATTAAAACGCTTATGAAAAATAAATATTAATGTCCAGTAATTTTTTTTTAACGAGAAAAGCTTGTGCGTAATCTACTATTAAATTTTCCAATGCCTTCCCCCCTCCCATCATTACAGCTCAAACCATCCTTGTCACTGGTATTACGAATAGTAAAAATCGTTTTTCGTATACCTGCAATGATTTATCATTGAGTTCAAACTGTACGCATACATTACAGTGACTTGCTCTAGGAGACTCGACACCTATCGTACATCAGAGTAGTTACCTACTTTTCCCGTTCACCTTTTTAAACTTAAAACTGTTTACATTTTTCCTAAAAATTCTCGCGATCATCTGAACTTATCGCACGGGCCACAGACCTGTGGTGACGTAGTGACGTGTAGCACCAAAAGCAACTGCCGACGCAGTGTCGCAATCCCAAAAGACGATAATAACGACAATAATTAATTGTTGCTGTTGTTGTTGTTATTATCATCTATCGGTAATTGTTGCGGTATTCGCGGACAAAACGATTTTGGGCGGGTCAGCAGGTGTGTTTCCGCTGAAGTCTGAGCGAGTAGTCTGTTCGAAAGTAAGCAAATAATAAAAATTCAAATTATTATCATTATTTTATATTATTTATTCAGTGTTCATTTTCTTCCTGCCGTTGTCGCCTAGGCAGTGGATGTTCGTTGATAGGCATTTTTTTTCGTGAGTAGTCATTAGGTTTTTTACTGTTAGTTTAGGTATTTTGGTCTGATCGTCGACGAAACAAAAATGAACTACGGCAGCAAGACAACGTTCATCGGTTTTGACACGGACAAACGCAAATTGCCGCTGTCCAAGAGGTTTGTGATGTATGCCTACGATAAGGACACTGGAGAAATATTTGGTCGCACGCCGTCCAGTTGGGGTAAGAGTAGTCTCTTCTTTCCTTTTATGTCTTTTGCTCTCTAAAATGACTAATCGTTTAATAGGACAGTATTGATCTGTTCAATCGGTTCAAATAGACCATTGTGCTATGATGTGTTTGGCTCACACAAACAATTGAAATCCTGGTATAGAGTGATAAACAAGTGATGATAGGATTTTTTTTTTTAAGTTGTATTAAAATATATTAGCTGGTTGTTAATATAAAACTTAAAAATGATAATAATGTGCAAATGCCTTATCACTTATTGATGCAGGAATTAGAGGGTCGTTCTTTTTAATTGGAATAGAAAAATACTGAAATTTATGTGGGTCAAAACTAACCATATTTAAAATAAATAAGCAAACATGGTTTGATAACCAGTACTTTGTGAGTGTATCATTTTAGTACTAAAAAATATTTAGAACAAAAATTAAATTGAAACATTCAATGATACAGTGGTCGATTTGCTATCCCCTATATTATATCAGTATGTAAATATTTTAACTTATGTGTGACGGCCAAGTTTCTGATGTATATTTAACTATATGAGTTACATTGCATATTTTGAGTGTTGTAAAAAATACTTTTAAAAAGTGATTAAGTAATCACTTAAATACTGAAATACCTACTTTTAAAAGTATTTAAAATACCATCCAAATACATAGCATATATCTATTTATACTATTGGACAAGCAATGAGTGTATTAAAACTATAACAACATAGAGGGCGCTTTTTGATTACTCGATTACTCTTACGCACGGTAGTGCAGAATAGTAGGGTGAGTTCATTGATATTTAGATTATTATATATTGTCGTATTGACAGGCTTCATCACTCTGCAAGATGTTGTTACCCTGCTCGTAATGCTGTTGTTAAACACAGTGCTTGTCTAGTAGCATAGATTCTAAAATTAGTAAATAGTAAAGTATTTAAGCAATACTCTATTACTTTTTAAAAGCAGGTGTTTGATATAATTTTCATACAAAAATAAAAATCCATTTAGTCTGAAATAATTTATTTTAATCAAATTTTATTGCAATTTATAAACATGATTTGTTCATAAATAAAAATACTGATCAGTAAGGTCTGAACCTGTTGACCTAAAAGTCTTGAAAAATATATAAAATTACATTAACATGTTTAAAAATGAAGTACATTTTTTATTTAATTTGAAAAAAAATATAAATTCATTAATACCATCAAAAAATTACCTTGAACTCAATATTTGATTTAGATTAAAAATATCACACAAATATAATAGCTTAAAATAAATATTCTTTCATTTTGGGTTTTTTTCTTGTTTCTTATTTTTTTTACTAATTAAACTGAAAAAAAATAGAGGAAGTTAAATTAGTACTTAACAAATGAATATTATAATGTTTTCTTACCATTTCCTAAATGATTAAATGTGTTATATTAGACAGTTGAAGTATGCGCATAATATTTCATGCATACTGCCGGATTTATGTACAATTATAGCTCAAACTTTAAACCAAAAAATGCAAATATACCTACATTAGGTTTAAAAATGCATACAATGCTCCAAAATTTATAAAAAAAAAAAAGATGCAAATTCATCAAATTCTGGTCCTATTGATAGATTGATCAGTCATGTTAGGTCTTTTTTTTAGTGAAAGTTGCATCACCAACACTAAACACTCTACAGAGAGTGTACCATACCATCATGGATCGTTATAAACAATAATGATAATTAATAACTATTTTCTTGGTAAATAGGTTGTATTAATAAGTAATAATATTTTTGTATAATAAATCATAAAGTATAATATATCAAAGTCATAAAAAAAGTATTCAATAAAATAGTAGTAGAAAATAGAAGTATTTCAATACATTTAAGACAATTATTATAACAGTAAACATTTTATAAGTTTTTGATCAAAATGTATTTAAATGTAATTTGTGAATTTTAAGAAATAAATGTTTTTGTTTTCCTAAGACAAGTGAATTATTGTTTTTTTAATTTAGAGAAAATATTTCATGTAATGATTGCCAAATTAAAATAAGTTGTAAGAAATAGAAAAATAAATTCTATTTAAATACTTTCAGTAAAAATATATTTAATGCATAGTACAAAAATTGTTCAGTAAGACTATTAAAGGTACCCGTAGTAAATAAATGTCGAAAATATTCAACAGAATACTTCTTCCTCATGAATAGGGTTTGGATGTTCATGCACTAAAAAATGCTAAATATGGTTATAAAAATCGAAAAAAAATGTATTCAACATTTTTATTTTTTAAATATTTAATCAACATTTAAGAAGGTGTTTAAAAACAATAGATAATTATTAATTTATTACAATTTCAAGTTCCTACATATAAATTTCAAAGTTATCGCAGTTGAAAGACAGATAATATGATTGTTTGAATTGATGAGTTCTACCGGACTTTCTATGTATAGCTATATATCTGCAAATAGTAATTTCCTATTCCCAACAATAAATAAGCAATATTTTTATAAAATTTTTATAAAATACTCATATTATATAAACATTGATTCGGTTTTAGTGAAATACTTATTTTTTTTATTTTGTATTAAAAACCAGAAAAAAAGCCAAAATATGCACTTTTATAATAAATAAAATTGTGATATTTGAATCTATAATCTGTTCAAAATAAGATCATGACCTGGTGGCCGAGTTTTACGCATAAACATGGCTTTGTTCCAAAGTACTGGTCTTGCACCTCAACTTGGTAGGGGAAGTGTCTAACAATGCTCCTGACACCCGGCGAAAACCGGTCGCGGCTGGGTCATGATCTTATTTTGAACAGAGTGTAGACATCATCAAACAAATTTCTATATAAGAATACTTGAAATAGAACAACCTATAAAAAAAACACGCAATCTAAACCTACTGATAATATTATTAAATTTAAAATTTGTCCCAAACAATGTTATGTATATTTTTTATAAATTAATAAATAAAAATAATTTGATAATGATTTAATATTAAATAACATTTTGCAAAACAATTCAAATGACTCCACTCTATTTACATTGAGAAGCAACCTTGTTAAGCAGCAATTCAGACTACACCTGTTTGTTGCCTCAACCAAGTAAACTATCTTTACACTTGCCATGTATTAAAGCCACATCATTATGCACAAGTTATCTGCCTAATATGAATTGAGTATAAAATACAATTTTAATTTTTGTCTTTTTACATTTCAGCCAAAATTGGATTATTTTATACAGCGTTTTATTTATCGCTTGTTGCTATGTTTGGAGTAGTTTTGTGGTTTTTTTTCCAAACTCTTGATCCTCGTACTCCAACTAGACAACTTGAACATTCACTAATTGGAACAAATCCAGGTACTTTCATAAGATCTTAATTCTTTAAGTTAATATTAAAATATTAATATTTTATTGTGTATGTTCCCCCTAGGTTTGGGATTTAGACCTATGTCTAATGAAACTCACAGCACTTTAATTCATATCAATAGTAAATCTGTTCAAGATTATTCAGTGTGGACAGAAAGACTCGTCAAATTTTTAGATGGTAAAATTATTTTTATTAAACATGTTAATTTATTGATTTTATTTTTATTTTTAAATGATTTAGTGTACAAGAAACCAGGTTTGACACCAGGAAGAGGTCAAAATATCGCAACTTGTAATTACGATAAACCTCCTGGAAAAGGAAAGGTCTGTGATATTGATGTGAAAGCATTTAATTCTTGCACGGAAGAAAATCGGTTCAATTTTCATCGCCAAGGACCTTGTATTTTTCTTAAGCTGAATAAAGTAAGAGATCCAAAAGTTATAAGAGAAAATATATTGTTCAAATAATATTTAGAACTTATTATCAAAATAAAGCTGGCTTATAGTAAAAATATTTCATTTTTACCTTCGTCTCATATCTTAACCACATATCTCAAAATCTCAATATATTCTCATTAATCATTATCAATTAGCTATCCAAATTTAAATAATTAAATTATGAATTAATATTTGTAATATTTTAATAGTTAAAAAAAAAGGATTTATATTTTGGAATTTGTTTCTACATTGCCTACACTATATTTATTTTTATTTAACTATTCAAAAGAATATTATTAACATAATCTTTTGGGTGTACCAGCTTATGGCTATGGATGAAAATAACTGTTTAATTTTAATGAATGATTATTTATTTAATAATAGAATCTAAAAGGGTTGATAAATTGATATGATTACCAACATTATTCAGGCATATGAATTTTTATAGCTGTATAATAATAATTTTAATTACTATAAGTTATACAATATTTGGTTATAATTTTGCTTCAAAATGAAAAAGTTATTTTGTTTTAAACCAATAGAATTTAATTGTTTAAGTTAAATAGTCAACAACATTTTTAAATCTTATTTTCTAGATTTATGGTTGGAATCCTATATTTTATGATAATCCAAATGACCTACCACACGATATGCCAAAAAGTTTGAAAGACCACATCAAAAAAATAACCAATCCAGAGGAAGTTAGTATTTTTAATGTAAAACTAAAATATCCTTGGATAACAAGCCATGAGTTTTTTTTGTTATAAAATAAAATAATAATTGTTAAATTTCTTCTAATTTGTTTTCAGTTGAGAACTGTATGGGTATCATGTGAAGGAGAAACTGTGTCAGACAAAGAACTCATTGGGCCAATGGCATATTGGCCCATTCCTGGATTTCCTGGTTACTTCTTTCCATTCGAAAACTCTGAAGGATACCTAAGCCCTTTGGTTGCAATTCATTTCAAAAGTCCAGCAAGTGAGTGGATTTATATTTAAAGACTATATATTTATGATTTTTAATACCTTTTTTTTACTTACTTGAATTTAGAAAGTATTGTAATCAACATTTTGTGCAAAGCATGGGCAAAAAATATTGTTCATAAAAAAAATGGCATAAACAGAGGATCTGTGCATTTTGAATTGATGATGGATTAACATATCATCATACATTTTATAATTTTTAAGTACCAAATTTATTTTTAAACAATGTTACAAGATTTGCTTGCTTTGATTAAAAGTTGGACTTATTGTTTATTTATTACTTTATTCTCTACAACGATGGTGTAACAAAAATTCTTTGTTTGGAATTATTGTATATTAAGTATTCCATGTAGTTTTGCTGGTTACCAGTCTTACAATTACAACTCTTAAGTTACATCATTGTTGATGATAAATTATGAATTATTAATTGTCTTTTACATTATTTTTTTACATGTCAAACTATGCACATATCAATGATAAAAACTTCGGTTTTAAGTACATTATTTCATTAATTTTATTCTATAACTTTTATCATATGTTTAAACTATATTTTTTTTAACCATGTTATATTTATGATTCGTCCAATGTATACCAATATTATTAATTATTATGTATCTCGTCATAACACAAAATCCAACACATATTGAAGACTGATTTTTTAACAAGACATCTTTTAAACTAATAAAAATACTCCTCCAAGATTCATATGTAATAATAAGTTATTTTTTTTACAATTACACATGTGTTGTCAAATTATAAATACTATTGTGTGTGCTAGAATAATAATTAACAATTTGTGTTCAATAAGTCTAGAAGTTAAGCAATTATGATCTGACTATTAAATTATGCTTTTCTAAGCATTATTTAGAATTAAGTATAACATTGTTTAATGCATGGAAATAATTGACATAATTTAAAAACAAAGAATTTTTGGAGAGCTATTAACCAATCTGAAACAATACATTTTATGTGTCTAAATATATTATAGTAGTATCATTTAGGAAAAAATACTTGAAGATAAAAATTAATTGTATTGTGTAATACATAATACCATATGATATAATGTTTAATAGTTATAAATACTCTGATTTACATAAATATTTACTTTTATTGAGGTATATGATTAAACTATTATTACTGTATTACTTATTACTTATTGAAGCAACAATAATTATATTGAAACTATCCAGTATTAAATATTTAAATATTATTAAAAGGTTCAAAATACATATTATATTAAATTATTCGATATTATGTTAAAGTTTTTATGTGAACCATTTAATGTATTATTAATTTTTTAAATAACTAAATTTTGTTAGTTTTACGCAGTTATATTTTTTTTCATACATTTATACTATACTAAACACAATAAATGATTATCGATTTTAATGAATTTGTTATTTGATGAAATTTTACTAACTTTTGTCATCATTTTACATTAAAAGTATGTCAACTCACTGTTTTTTTTATGGTTTTGAGTAATCTAACACAATGTTTAACTTAAGAGTGAATTTATTTATTATCAAATGTATAAATAAACATTTTAGTCATTGATATAGGTTTTTTACATTTTAATCATTTTAAAACAATTTATAAGCATTTTAAAATACTCATAACCTGTTTTAAAATTAAAATGTAAAATAAATGGTTCAAATGTCATTGACTAGATCAGTAGTTCTCTACCGTTATGTCGCCAAATAAATAGTTGAATTACATTGAATGTGTTCAAAGTATAAATATTTGCCATTATTATGGCATTATGAATTGATTATAAAAACCACAGAAAAACAATTGTAAACATAGTCTCATTCTTAATTTACCTACAGATTATAATTGTTGTTTTTCAGAAATCCATTAACCACTAGAAGTATGTGGCCATTTTTAAGCATCTAAATTAGGGTGCTGTTGTAAAAAAATTGAGAAGCTTTGAACTAGATTATATTTTTACTTCTAAATTTGGTAATAGGTCAGTTAATTTTAAAATTAAACATATCAGAGTTAAATTAATTATTTAGAATGTGGTATTTGCTATGTTGTAAGACGGAGACAACGCATGCCATACTGGTATGGTATTGTTTTTATATTTGAGATTTGTTGACACACACAATTTGAATAACACCAATTATTCAAACTATTTCAATCTTCCGGTAAAGTGGTATAATCAAAAAAACAATAGTTTATGATTTTTGGCTATTTTTTTATTTATTTTTTTTAAAAGTAGTTATTATAAAGGAAGTTTCTCATTGCCTAAATGAAAAAAAAGTTTGATGTTTGTTCCTACCAAATCTAATTCTTTTAAATTCAAATTTAAACAAGATCCACCAGAAGGAGGTTGTTCTCGTTAACTCCCAACAATTATTTCAAATGTATTTCATTTTAATTTAGTCTTATGCTTTTATATTTGTCCGTCTTATAACAATTGTATTACTATAATTACTTAAGTTCTAACACAGGTACTATTTTCAAGAATTCCATACGAGTAATTGTTTTAGTTTTATACTTAGTTATTGCAGTTGAGAATATGTTAATTAATCTATTTTTTTTTTTATCTTTGGTTTGTGGATATTTAATTTACTATATATATTAAATATATTTAATTTATTTTTATTTATATAAACATAATTAATTTGAACTTTTGAAATTAACATTTTTATAAAAATACAGTATGCTCTTGATTATCCGCGTAATAGGGTGGCCCGGATCCATGGATAAGCAAATCCTGCAGATAATCTGCTAAATTCAATAATTATATTATTAAAACATTATAATTAAATCTAGTAATGCTATATATGTAGTATTTAAGGAAAATTAAATTAGAACACTTTATTTTATATAAAAATGCATATAATATGACATAAAATTTATTATTTATACTACATATTTATGTTTTGACAAAAAATCGGTAAAAGTGGTTGTTTTTTGTTTAAAATCACTTCTTATTAATCTGTGGGTGGGAACATACTATTTTTGGAAATATAATTTTCAGAATACCATAAAACAATAACGAGTTACAACATAATATAATCTCAATTATGTCAAGTGATTTTCCAAGCTCAAAAAAATAACTTTGGTAGAAAATAAGATCTAGCAGAAACAAAAATGGAACCTTAGTTCAGTTTTGCAGAAACAATGCACTCTAATAATAAATAGATAGTAAGTAACCTCTCTATTTTGAGTAGGAAAGAACATTTTTTTTAGTCATATCTCCCCTTTCAAAAAAAATTCTAAATACTGGCTGAGAAACAAACATTTTCAAAGTATAAGCGTATAAATCAAAAATTTATTTTAAGTATTACAATGTTCACAACTTTGATCTTATGATGAAACATAACTTAAAATGTAAGAGTAATAAAAAAAATTATATCTATTCAAAAACTAAAGGGGACTGTGCAAAACTGTGGGAACTGAGTTATCTATCTTGTTTAATATGCCACAAATGTTGTCTACTCTCAAAACTGCATCCACTACTTTTTCTGTACTATCAATTTTCAACCTTCAAAAACTGTATTATTATTTGTCTTATAGGTACCTAAACTATTTTTTTTTTTTTTATAGAAATATAATAAGACTTAAGAGTAGTTTAAACTAGTATAATATTAAATCTATAGTTTAGTTTTTCATCTGGAGAGTGTTGGATTTAATTTTAAGTAAAAAACATTTATGTTAAACTTGAACAATTAATTATTTTTTTTAATTAAAAAAAAAAACAGTGTTAACAATTACAAAATGTTGGACAAAAACAATTTAACTCCAAAAATTATGAGACTATTAGCTCACATTTAGAAGAAATTATAAAAATTAAATTAGTGAATACTAAATTTTTTTTTTATGGTCTCATATGTCGAAATATTTTTAACTTAATCAAGTCTAACTATAAATACAATAGTTTTATTTCTTGAAAGGTTTTGAACAAAGCCTGATAATGCACAGTCCCCTTCGTATTATAAGATAAATAATATTGATGATTTCATATGACTTAATTATATTAAATATTATGAATTTTTTCATACATAAACAAATTTAATGTTTGATTGATACAAATAGTTATTAAAAATTAATTTAATATATTCAAACATTGATGGTAAAAAAAAAACTTAAAAAAAGGATACAACTTATTTGCCTAGGTACTAAGAGTCAACTCGACTAATTAAATTAAGTAAGTATTTATCTTACAACTTATGGATGAACAAAATCAAAATGAAGTTTTTGTGAAAATAATCAATGTAGATGAATAAGTCATTTTAATAAAAACAATTTGTTATTTGATTAATTATTTGTAACTAACTCTAATGAATACATTTTGTTTTTAGAAGCATTCTAATGACTAAAAAGAAAAGGAATACATAACTTAACATAAAACTATTCTTATCATATTTTGAACACTTCTTCCATTACTTTTCCTTCAATTTTTCTACATCACTGTCGATAACGTTTACCTGAAGTGGTTGCAAATCATCATTGTCCAGTGAAGCAGTAGTGGTAGTAGGAGAGACGGATATTGCACTATTTCCTTGTTGTTGAGTATTAGAAGTTTGACTATTGGCATTCTTTGAGTTCTTTGATCGGATTTCAGCCATAACCTATTTAAATACATAAATTAGTTCTGTACTTAAGTTCAAAATTAGATTGAAACTTATTATAATAATTATAGTGATGAACATCGATATGAAGAGGATCATATAGTTTTGTAAAATTTTAAACGCTCATAATTTTCTTCAAAATTCATACATAAAAAAAAAATAGAAATGGATAATATTCTTTAATTTCTCTGATCAAAAATTTAAATTAGATAATATATCAATTCACTTTAATGTTAAAATTAACAGAGTGGAATGAATGGATTATTATGAACCAAAAATTGGTATCTTATGGATTAGTAAGATAGAGACAAAGAATAATGGGTTAGATTACTCTTTAAAAAATTTGATATCGCATAAAAATACACAAATTATTTTTTGTATTAATTTGTGTCAAACAATACTAAATTTAAGTTAGGTTTTAAGTCATCCATAAAATGAATAAATCGATATTAAAATACCTGATCATGCAAATTCTGGAAATCTGAAAGCTGGTCTTTCAATGATTTGTTTTCCTCTAGTAATGAATGAATTTGGACTTTCAGCTTAAACATTTGCTTAGCATCCTTCTAAAAATGGACATATTTTATTAATACGAAACTTTAAAAATTTTTAAAAATGGAATTACAATGAGTAGCTTACTTCATCAAAATTGAAGTCATCTGTGAATACTGTTCGATTTTGCAAAAGCTGTTTTTCAAGATCGGCAAGTTTCTTGTAAAGTGATACACGGTATTTGTTTGTAATATCTTCTGCAGATGTAGTACCTAAAATGTAATATTATAAATAGAGACATTAGTGTTTATGAGAAAAAACATACAATCAAGTAATTTATTTCTTTTAATTTAATATATATTCATATTCTTATATTTATTTGTATTTAAATATATTATCATAACTCCCAGCTATAAATTTTGAAATCTATTCAAAAAACCGTTTTTTATTCATACATTTTCTTAAGATAAAAAATAAGTGGTAATTAGATTAAATTAATTATATTTATATTTGGTGAAAATAGCTTTTTAGCATTCAACAAATTCAGTTTTATATATTAAGTTAACTTTATGTATAACAAATATAATGCGACAATCATTTATCTTACATAATAAATTATAAAATTACGAAATAACTAATATTCGAAAATGAAGTTATTAGTTTAGCACTTATGAATACCTCAAAAGTATTTCTTTTAAAATCAAAATGTAATTCAAACTTTTAGCTGCACAAATAAAGTTATTTTTCTAACAAATTGAAATTTAGCACACAATAATATTTTGTCGGGTATTAAAATATATAAGTTAATGTTTTCGTAAAATAAAAACAATAAAAAAATGACCAAAGTACCTCTTCTGAAGTCCTAAGCAATAATCTATATGAATTATTTATGTACCATATTTACTATCCTTGTTCTATTAAGCACATTGACACCAATGACCATTCACCAAAATAGTATTTACAAAATAATGTACAATGGTGAATTTATACAATATTTGCATGAAAATTAGATTTTTAAAGTTATAACTATTGCATTTTCCAAAAATGTTAGAGTTTAAAATTTTTTATACTTGAATACAGAATTGTTTACAAGACATTTTTGGTCTTTTAAAATTAAGTGTTATAATATATTAATTTATGTTACATACATATTATATTGTAATTTGGTTAAATTCCTTATATAAAAAAAATAAGGATTTTTTCTGAAATTGTTTTTCAATATGTTGTACTTTGTAGGATTGCACATTTAATCATTCTTTTTATACCCCCCCCCCCCTCAAATAAACTGGATATATATAGTGTATTAGTATGCACATTGCTTGTATAGCAGTTTGTACTGCAACACTTTGAAACTCAACAACATTTTTGTTGTACTCATTTAAGACATTTACCTTTTGATTGATCCGAAGTTCCTACCATCAATCGCTGTTTCTTGGTAATTTCAAGCAACATATCATTGGTGTCGTTTAACCTTTTATTGTCCTTTTCCAATTTGGACTGCTGCTGTTCGAGTTGTTCTATTGCTTGACTCATGGTGGTGGACAGCTATAATAAATAATAATACACAATTTTAAACATCAGTTGGGTAGTTAATAATAAATAATTATAAAGTGAATGATTATTATACTGGTAATATTATAGTCATGTATACAATATTGGTTTAAATATAAAATATACGTAACGCTTGAAATAATATGCGCAACTCACATCCTTGAGTGTTTCAAAATTTTCCTCTATTATCTTATGAGAGTTGGACATGATGTCGCCACCGCCGTCCGCGACCGAACTAAATACTAAAATTTTACTCGTACGTTTTCTAACTTTACACAAACGTGTATAATATTTATAAATGTAAACTCTAGCTTTATTAAATAATACTTATAAACACTGTAAATCTAATAAGGCTGACTATAATATATTGGAAACAAAATAATAATATTACCTACACGAAATAATATACTGTTGCAACAACACTACCTGTTTGATACACTAGGCAGTCACCTACAATATGCCGATGCACCGCGCACGTCCAAACGAGACAGTCGCACGAGCGATAATAACAAAAATAATAATATATACAATGTCCGCGGCGGCCGTAGTAGGTACGTTACATAGGCCTAAGCATATATTATTATTATTTGAAAACATTTCATGGTGTTTTTCCCCTCCGTGCGCCTACCCATCTACCCGCCACGCAGTTCAAATATTCGTCTATTGCCCGCGCCGTAGGTACCGCTGTTATAACATAATATACCTATATAGACGTAGCCATCTATATTACTCTTCGCAGCACGCCGGTTACCGCGTCCCCTCGCCACACTGCGATCTCCTACCCAACATCCGTGTGCCCCGCCGTGCAGTGACCGTTCTATAATATTATTTTGAATTAAACAATAGTTGGCGCATAAAAAGCCTACTGCTATATACCTATACGTGATATTACATATAATATATGCCTATGACTATGCACTCGCGTTTTAAGTTATAACCGCGGAGCCGTAGAGTATATAGAAATAGACAATACTGTTAGGTACGAACGCAACGAATATATTATATATTATATACATGCACGTAGCGATCCAGTGACGAAGTCTCCGCCTCTCATACGGTAGATCCAGCTATATGTACGCGTCGTGTATAATTCGATTTTAACCCCGCCAGATGAGCCCGCAGGAGGTGTAAAAATTTGTTTTTTAAATTATATAATAATATATTCACTTCAAAACAGCGATTACATCATAACATAATGTTATATACATGTATGCTATAAAACTGTTCAACTATAACCGATAGTGTTGTTATTTGTTGGTAAATAGGTAGTTATTATAAAATCATAATATTGGTACGCATACGTTTAACGTATGTTGAAACAGTCGTGTAATTTACTTAGGGTGCCATTTAAAAGTTGACAATTTAATGTACTGTATTATTATTTATTAGTTATTACTATAATACTTAAGAGCTGTACAATTTATACAAAGGCTGAGCATTAAGAGGACCCGCATGCTTTTTGTCAGTCATACAAACACATAGGTAACATACCAAATTGAACGAACTAAACAATTCATTCAACTCGGTTATATTATTATAGTTAATCTTAGAGTGAATTGACCTAATGTCAAATTTAGAAATAAGAATATTATCTAGATGATGACATAAGTTTTTATGAAACTTCAATATTTTAAAGCGAGTTATGAGAATGAAAAGTTAAAGTTAATTTTTTTTAATACATAGACCACTCAAAATTTGAAACAAATTTTGTTTTATAAATTGAAAAAAAAAATGTTGTGAACAAGTTGCTGGATCAGCTACAAATTCGAATCACAACCTAACAAGTTCAAAATTAAAATTGTAATAATTAAAAATAAAACTGTAATTTACTGCATAATTATGATTTCCTTTTACATACAATATTTCATGAAGATTTTGAACTGAGCATAATATTTGTTGACAATTTTTTCCACATGAAAACGTATTTGATAATTGTAATAGAAACGTCGCCAATATAAAATAAAAACCTGTTTAAAATTAGACAGTACAATAATATTATGTAATTTACGTTCCCATAATACATTGGAGTTTGGGTTAATTTAAATTGTTATATTCTCGAATACGCCACCGGATCTGTAGAAATATCATGTTTATTTACGGAATCATTCGGTAATAAATAATAATTACAAGTATTCGTGATATAATTTGATGAATTATTTTATATTTTCCCACTTCAAAATTGTATAGTATGAGCTGTCTTTCAGCACAAGGTTTAGATTCCTAAATGATTTAAGGCCGTTTTTATTTCGAGTATTCACTTAGGTTATCCTTCTCCCCTTCTTTTAAATATTATTTCTACCAAAATTTTTTTTTGAAACGTAAAAACAAATAATGCATATTTAGAGCATATTTCAATAGATTTATATGCTCTGCAACTTATGTGTATATAAATAGGGACCTACTAAATTGTACCGTCGAAGTGTTTAGCGCTTTTTCTAGATTCTATAATACTGGTCAAAATAACGTACCTATATAAATATAAATGTATATTTTTTCAAAATATGGGAAACACTGAAAATAATAAATAAGGTGTACTATTATTAAGTATACAGTCTAGTAAATAGTAATAATGTAAGTTATAATTAAATTACTCGGGTCGTTTAAATATGATTATTATTATCATCGTCGTCCGAGAATTAATACATCGAAACTATGAACTACGCGGTTTTCTTGTCGTTCATCCGGTCATGGCAAGTATAAGTTCTCTGTGCGTTACTCTGTGTTACGCCTTAAACATACATAATATTATATATATATATACATATATGAATATAGTAAATATAGTACATACTACATAAACATAATATATATATAGTGCATATGTAACTGTCTATCGTTCGCAACGATTGTCCCGATGTATTATTGGTCGGTATTATGGGTATATCCGATATAGTTATTATTATGTATTGTTGAAATATTAAAACGAAGTATAACCTGCGGGCTGTGGCAGCCTATATGTATAAATGGATAATTTTATATTTTGTACGCCTGTCGAGACGCGACCGTAGTTGAAAATCAGTTCAGTGGGTGCCAAATAATTATTATCTGAACCTGTATCATGCTAACACGCTCTCCTCTGTAATTACAAATCACTCCTCCGAGGACAACACAATATTTTTTATTAATATTTTGAGTATTTACTAGCTATACTTACATAGAATAATATAGGAATGGGTATTAAATAATTTATAAACTTTACGTTTTTGCTACCAAAATATTCATTTGAGCTTCAAAAAGATCTCGGTCGATGATATATCCACAGTACAGCGTTGTAATTCCGCATACTCATTATATTATTATAATATTATGAGTATAGTAAAATGTTGGTAAATGGAATCTATTCGTTTGTCATTTAAATTTTTAAAATATTGAAAACCTGTTTATAATCCACGCACATAGTTTAATGTCAAAATTATAATACTTGCAGAGTTGCAGCCTATACCCTATAGATATATAAACATTACTATTTCAATATAAAAACGGGTATGAGTGACGACGAGAGTGGTCTACTGGCCACTGCCGAGTATAAAATGTGCCATTTACGAGTATAATGTAGATTATATAGCGAGTTCAAACAATTTGGAAAAGATGGTTTTCTTTTAAGGTCATGAAATGTCTAGATACTACTTTTTGGCGTTTTTGCACATTAACAAGAAAAATATTTTTAAAAAAATTAAAAATTCCCTTTTCCGTGGGGAGAAGGAAGGTATCACTTTTGATTTTGACATGGCGATATTTTATTTTTATATTTTAAATCAGTTAAAATAAGTAGAAAAATAAAAAATGTTCAGTAACTTTTGAAATAGTCGTAAAAAACAAGAAAAATGTACGTAAAACAAGTTTTTAACAAAATCGTTTACGTTTTTATTTGTTGTACTTAATTCAAATATTAACAAATATTATATTTTCACAAAATATTCATAATAGCATTAGGTAATATGAAACATTATCAAAGTATTTTGATTGTTTTTGAGTTATTTCTATAAAATAAATGTATTTTATCTATATATTTGAAATTGTTAACTTTTTTGATTCTTCATTGATTGATGCACAACACTTTTATTTGTGAGTTTATTTTTTTAAATCTAAGTTCAAATTTTTACAAAATTCAACAAAATTACGATATGTTGCTAAGTATTTTGCAGTTTAGTATTCATAAAATGTTTTATTTTATCATCAAACAGGTTCCTACGTTTCATATGATATGATATAATTTATATAATTCTTCATAAGTTTACTTGTTGATTCCAACTCTTAATTCTCATGTCTACAGTTAATGTAATTAAATTAAATATTAGTGATTCAATAATTTTCATAATTATTATGGCATTGAATTTACCACTACAAACTACCAACAACAAAGTATTTAAGCTTAACCATTGAAAATGAAACAGATTATTATGATATTTTAAACTCTTTAAATCTATTCAACAAACATAAATGTATTATACTATATTAATATGTATATCATTACTAAAACTTCAAATGTTCATAAAGAAATTTCAAATTACAAAAGGTTTCAATAGTTGGTGGAATTGAAAAATATAATATTGAAAATTCTTGATTACAATTATAATGCAAATTAAATCATATTAAAAATTAGTACATTTCATCACAATATTAACTTAAAGAATGTTTTAAAACTATTGACAATTTACATAATATTTCATTGGGAGAAACAGTGAATCTTAAATAAATAAATTGCTTCTCAGTTTACTACTGATAATGTACATACTATGTATACATATTGTCTTTAAAAAAAGCATATCATCTAACAATCTATGTCAAGTACGGGCAACTCCAACCTACTAAAGAACAAATTTTTAAAAATGTAAAGTATAATTTTTTTTATAAAAAATTGAATACAAATTGTAAATTGCAGTACGGACTGAAAAAAAATAGTATAAGAAACCAGCTACAGTCTACAAGTTATCTATTTTTATTTTCAGCCTATTCTCTAATCTAATAAATCATATTTCAATTTTTTAAGATTACGATAAGACAAAATTTGTTGCTTAGTTAGCAACAAAATTAATTGGATGAACAGAAAACCACTTGCAACATGCAACAAATTCTATTCATATAACCTATTTGTCTTAACTATACATACATATATACCTAGGTACATTAATAAGAAACAAAATAAAATGAAATATGTCTAAGCTAGTCAGTACTATGGCTTAGATTTGTAAGTATTTAAAACTACAAAACATATAACATATTATAAGTAATAGACAATTGATAAAAATGTAATAACAGTTATGATTTAAAGATAATTAAACATTTCTGAACGATCTATCCATTTTAAAAATGCAAAATACGAAGATTAGGTACCTACTTAAATTATTAAAAACATTAAAAAAATACTTGTTTTGGTGACAAAAATGTTTTAAATAATATTATATTATTTATAATACTTAATGATCCTTATTTCAATTGCAACATAAATGTGGTATCTAGAAAGTTCTGGATGAATCCACTACAGCCACAAAAGAACAAATTATATCATTGATTGGTAAAAACGATGTTGAACAGGACATACGGTAGATATTTTTCTCGTCCATAAAGAACTGGCAAGTTTAAAACCATAATTTACTTTTGTGCAACCAAAAAAGTTCTAGAATTCTTCAGATTATCCTTTTTTTAAGGTACAGCAGTGAAAACATATGTTTTACAGCTATTTCTACAGTGGCGTATATACAAATTATTTTCACTATGGGCCGATTTATCAATTATCACTAGTCAAGCAGCATAGCCATAATTATACATTTTTAAGGGAGCAGCTGTTATATAATTAAGAATTATGACATATTATACAGTTCAAATAAAAATTGCGCAATTCAATTTTATAATTATTATGTAAAATTAATTTTTTGTTTCTTTTTTTAAAAATATTGACAGTGTCGTTTGTATATTTTAATGTTATCTTACTATGAATTTAACATCAAAGTCAATAAGTCATTAAAGCAAGTCCCGTCAATATATCTAACATTTCCTTGTAGATTACTCAAAATGATTTTAATCAACCGGCTAACTTAATCATGGTGAAAAACTGTTAACAGTGTAAATATACATGCAATGCTTTAATTAAACCTGCAATTTCACTATGGGCTCTGGCCTAGGGGGCCTCCCCCCTATATACGCCACTGGCTTAGAATCAAAACACACTCTAAGATCAACAATAATCACTGAATGTTTTCAATAAACCTAGAGTAATATTGTCAATTGAAAGACAAATGAGTGTCCATCGATCAACAATCTTAATAATATGATTGACTAGTATGTAAACACAAAAGAAACAGATAAATATATTTTACTCAGTAAAATGTTTAGACACTGTAGCTTTTTTTTTTCAATTACAACAATTATTTTATGAGGTATTTTGGTATTTAATCAATATTGTTTTCATCCATACAGTTCATCTTGATACTCAGCAACCATTGCAATTAAAAAAAAAAAAAAAACAATGGACAAAAACTATATTATACGGAAAACAATATAGTTTTTGAATCACATTTTTTTTTAAAATTGTAACGGTTGCTGAGTGCCAAAAAAATATACGGATTATATTAGAAAAGAATATTTAATTTTTTTAAAAATGAAGTATCTTAAAGAAAGTACAAAAATCACAAGATGTAAAACTACTCTATCATAACGTTAAAACGTCATAAACGTTAAAATGTCATGACGTTTTACCGACCATAATACAATGGGACCACTCAAATATTTATTTTGAACTAGACACCAGAGATGACATTGTGCAATGAGTTGCAAAAGAGTTATGGACATTGTTAGGCTCTTAAAAAAGATAAGCCTACAGTGTTAAATTCCCTCAAAATTAAACAACCAGGTTAATAATGATTTGCTCACATATTATAAATCAACCATTTAGTTTAAAGTTCAAGTGTTTAAACACAAAATAAGAGTCTTTACTACATAAAACCAAACAAAAATGTAGAAAAGTAGCGAAGTAAGTACAGTTTATAGGTTAACCAATCATTGGCCGTCAAATATTATATTATTTTATTCACAATTTTTTTGAAATGTATTTTCATATTATACATCGGAGCCCTAATTGTAGGTACCACCTACAATTATTAAATACTGGCACGAATCCAAAACATGAAATGCATAACAATAACTTTGAAAAATAATAAAATTTATTAGATACTTACATTCCGGCAATTATTGAATCCAAAGGTCTAAATCCCGTTTTCTTTGTCTTGTGCAGTCGTGCAGTATTCGTGATATTTGATTGTTATGTTATTCGTAATTACCGTAATTAATGATTTAACTATACAAACTTAACACGCTCGAGCGCTCAACCGTGATATTGACACAAGAATCAGTTTAGCTCATAAATCAATATCATAGACGGTACGCGATACCCTGATACGCAGTAAATATGTTTAATTATGTCTGGGTCTACGATAAATACGCGACGGTGTACAACAGTTTACGCATGTGCATTCGATCTCTGGTGGTCATTTAATCAGTGACTCGTCGTTTAAATATAATATAGCATCAAACACTAAAGTACCTCCATCATTTGACCTCCAAGAAACCGCGACCGTATAAACGACATTCAGAGGTGATAACAATTTGCTTATAACACTGCATAAGCTCGGCCAGAAGTTAGTAACGAGTGACGACTAACGATTTGTTCCACCCATTGAACTATATTATTATAATCTAAATACCTACCTACTATTATATAAAATTGTAAGGGGTTTTCTACGACCGCGTTTACCGAGAAAACTACAGAACCGATTAGGCTGAATTTTTTTACTGTTATACTCGACACTCTGTTGAAGGTTTTAGTACCAATTTTCTTCGATACAAAATAAGTATCAAGTTATTATCAATTAAAATAAACTTGTAAATTGTATGCCATAACTTTTTTAAATAACAATCAAACTTGACAACCACAGATGCTTCTAGGCATGTCGGTATCGACGTGGAATAATAAACAATAAATTGGTATAATTATTTAGTTTAGCAAAAAAAAAAAAAACAATTAATTTTATCTGAATATCTATTATTAGTATTTATAATCAACGGTGTTACATTAGTTACCTATTGGTAAAAAATACCTAACTAATAACTAATCGAATTTTCACAAATTGCTTGCTAAAATGGTTGAGTTGTAATTACAGCAAAAGAAAGCGACTTCATTTTATATAGTAGTATAGATTTACCTAGCATGGGATACGATACTACGATGATAATAGTATAATATAATATAAAATCCTACCTGATAATATGTTGCTTGCATTATAACAAGCGAATCTTATGTATAAATTTGGCATTTTCAACGGGCAACAAAGTGCACCGGATCAGCTAGGTAGTAATATATAATTTAGTTATTATAGTTCAATGGTTCCCACCTTGCTACTTTATTTATATCATAGACCTATGTAGACTTTACGCTTAGTTTTAATTACTAAGCTGATATTTTTGTTGAAGATTTTGATGTATCCAAATCAAAATTCGAATGGGCCTTGAGTTAATATAAAATAACTTTGTGTGCTAAGGACAATATGTCTATGGTAATCGCCAATGAGTTAGGACTTAGGTAGATAACTTAACGGGGCTTAGACGATTTAAAAAAAAAAATAGTAATTACTATTGATTTATCAATAAAAATACTATAAAGTTTGTGAAAATTATCCAAATATAATAAATACTACATCAACTATAAAAAAAATAGTCATCTAATATTACAATATTATGCATTTTACATTTTTATAAAACCATTTTTTAAGGATTAGTATCCTTAGTATAAACACTTGAATAACTCAGAAACTACTCTAGAATTGTTATTTGGATACATCAGAATTTTCAAAAAAATCATCCGCTAAATAATTTTCAGTAAAAAAGTTGGGTTTTCATTTGAAAAATACAAGTTTATGTCGTTATAGGACACTCCTTAAGAAGTACCTACAAAATATATCAGAAATTTGAAAATATATTTCTTAGGTATACATACAAATTCTAAAAATTAGAATTTTAATTAATGTACTAAAGACAAAAAGTGGAAGTGAGGATGCTTAAAAAATTACCCTGTATATTACAAAAAATTCTTACTGTAAATATTTATGGGTTGTATTTTAAAAAAAAAATGCATTGTACAGTTTTAGTTATATTTCGACTCATTTATTTATATTTCTTACATAATTTACTCATAAATCATATTAGGTACGAGGTACCTTAGTACCTACTTATAAATGTACAGGTATGGACCGGAATCAGGATTAGAATGAAAAATACGTGTTTTGTTATCTGAGTGATCGCTGTGTCTGAAATCTGCATAAAGTACCATTTTTTTTACTTCAATAACACAATCGATTTGTCATCATAGAATTTAAATAATTAAATGTGAAACTTTTGTTTTTCATTTTACGTCGTCTTTCATCTTTATAATAGATTGTATTATTGTGATAATCTTAGGTAAGTATAGGTATATTTCCCCTGAAATGTTATTCGTTCAAAGTGCATATTATTAATTATTTATGCATTTCATGAATGTGGCCGGTTGTATTCTATATATAAACCGAACCTACAGAAAAATGTGAAAAAAATATGGATTTCAATTCAAAATGGTACTTTTCTTTATTTGAAGAGAATAATGTTTCGTAATAATATGATAATAATATTATGTACAACCCGTGTCCTTATCGGTCGTTGTTTGTTCTGGTTGTAGGTACACTTTTTGTTATTTTTGGTTTAGTCTATAGATATTGTATTTTATTAAATTACAATATATTATACCTACAAGTTATACAATATACCTACAACTGGCGATGTAGTTTCAATGTAAATAGTTAACCGGAAAGAATTCACTAGTCCCTGAGTTTTACGACCAAAATAAATTAATTGATCATTAATTGCTATCCAGGTAAAGTGTAGAAGCATCGAGATCGAGCGTATTTCCACACGTGTAACTAATTTCAACTTTAGCTATTTACCATGCGTAGCTTTTCCGTTTCCACGAGTGTGAATGACCTGGACAATATGTACCCATACAACAAATTTAGAATGAAAGTACCAATGCTTAAGCTGTTTGTCATTATTATTATAATTAGTTATTACAATCGGTTGGTACCATTTTTTCATGCTCCTTAAACTACCAAACAGTATTATTTTATTTCACTCATTATTTAAAAAATTTAGATGATCAAATTGAAGACTAGTCTAGTTGAAAAATTATGAATACTTCTGATATATTAGTAGGTAGCTAGGTAGGTACTAGTAATCTTAAAAAATATGTGTAAAATCGTATACTAAACAAATACCTAGGTACCTAGGTGTCTACCGTAATAAATAGATAGGTATATGGAAGGGCTCGGAACTTAATGCACTTAAAAAGTACTGAATATGCATGCAGCATGCTCTTATGCGCTTAAAAAAGTACAAACATGCAATTATTTTTTTACACAAAATTTTCATTTGCAGAAATATTTTATAAAATTATGAATATGGAAAAAGCAAAGTAATAAAAATATTTTTTATTTTTAATCATAATTTAAACAACAAAAAAATTATATGCCTATATAAAATGCCTCCAAAATGTTCTTTGAATAAAATAAATACGTATAAATCGAAAGTGACCATAATATCTAGGCAGTAAGTCAATTAATGCCATCAGCCCATCAACAATTATCATTTAATTATTTCCCCACAAAAGTATTTATAGAAAATCATCGTATTTCTATTGTTGCTGTCTCTATTTTATATTTATTCAATATTTATATAACATTCTATTTTAGATAAATCAAGCTGTAGTTATAATTTATAAATATTTATATATTATATTAATCAATAGAGGAAAAACATTGTTTTTGATGCCAAATGGAAATTTAAAAAATACGATACAAGAATATCTAATAAATTCTTTCAATATGAATAAATTAATTATTTCGTTTACGAATCTTCATGTATAATAAAATACTCTAAAAAAATGTAAAATTAAGGAATATGCTTTAAACTCTAAAAATCATTAAATATGCAAAAATATGCACTATAAACTTTTGATATGTTTTTCATAGTGTCTTAGAATAAATTTCTAGCTCACTTAGCAATAAATCTAACGGTCCAAAAAAAAAACATGCAAATGCAACAACTTCCGAGCCCTAGATCTATGTTATCATGCTTTTTTTACTGGAGTTTGTAATTTACACCATAATAAAGATATGTAATTTGCACCACTGCAGATAACCGAAAATAGTGTTTATAATTTGCACCAAAATAAGTATCTATTGACTAATTTAGTGATGGGCACTATCGATAGTTAAAATTATCGAATAATTTAAAGGACTATTCGAATAATAATCTTTTTTGACGTCGTAATAGCGTTACATCGCGTTATAAGTTATAACCAGGGTTCGTGACTGAAAGTATTTACTTATTTTTATGGATTGACTTAAAATGTAGCAGATCGCTATGGAAGTGTATGTCATGTTACAACACGTTCAATTATGAAATTTGGAATTGCTTTTTTTTTTTTGCTTTTTTCAGCGATTTTTTAAAAAAATGCTCATTTCCAGTTTTTATGATTATTTTCTCTTTTTTGATCAGTTTTCTAGTTTTTTATGGCTTTCTCCTGCAAAGTGGTTTTTGATAGAATTAAAATTAAAAATAATTCTTATCTACGTTGCAGCGTATTTAATTAATTGAAATCCCGCCTATTATCACAATCGACACAATTTCGCAAAAAAGCTAAAACGCCTCAAACCTTAACAGGTTGCTTAATAATTATCAATGTGTATTCTGGATTCTAAACATAATGTGTATTTTAAATAAAAATGATAACATTTCTTTGTACTAACCAACTTTTAATTTTTTAAATTTTTAATAATGATATTAAGTGTTCAAATTCTCAAAATAGTATACAATCATTTTATATGAAAATATTGTTTTTTTCAGGGTTGTTTTAATAGATATACCTTAGTGGGCCGATTTTTTGTTACATTCCCGGTAGAAACTTTTGACCCAGTCAGGCTCTATACTATTACATTATCCATCAATTTATTATTTCTACCAAATATTAACTTATCCTTTAGTCTTTCCGCTTCATCATAATAGATAATATCTTCCCGTGCAGTGAATTTTTCATGTAGAGAAGTTTTTTCACATTATGGTAGTTAAAATAGTAAAAAATAATCGTAGGGAAGATATGTTAGAGTACAATAATTATACTTTTTATGTTGTATATAAAACGAATAGTACGGAGAACGGACATAATTCGTTGGCGAAGTACCTACACGGGCTACACGAAGAAAATTGACGAGTGGTGAAAATGAAAGTTCACACATCAATCACGATGAGAAAAACTTATATATTCTTAAATTACAAAAAACATAATATTTATAATTACATACAAAGACAAAAAACCTGTAAGTATCAAAACAGTGAATTATAAAAATATGCAAGTTAACTTTTTTTAAACAAAACCTTATTATTTCCAATAATTACAGTTCCTAAGATAAAATCCTATCAATGCAACACAAATTTATTTTTTTTTTTTTAAATTTATACTTATGTATTTTTAAATGACTTTAATAGA